GGCAGCAGCACTGCACCCTCTTTGCCCCAAACCACCAAGCTCAGATGCTGGGGGTGCAGATTCAACAGGCTGGCAGGGCCAGCGCTGCCCAGCTGGGGCTCTGTCTGGCTCTCCTCACCCACAGGGCACTGAAGAACCATGGAACTTGATTTCCCTGGTGCTGGGAACCACAGGATTCTCTTTGCCTGCCTCTCCCCATGTCACTTCCCACCTCTCCAAATTTCATTCCAATTTACACCGTTCTTTCCAGGCTCGTGGCAGCAGCCACCCATCCAGCATGCTCCATCATTCCACACTGCCATCAATCCCTGAGCCCAGGGCTGTCCCAAATCCCCAAACACACTTCTCCACCGTGTTTTCACTCATAAGAGCTGCTGCCAGCCTCAGCCACGTGCCTATCCTCTGCCTGGTGTGTGCTTCCCAAACTGCGGTGACAGTGAGCGACCTGCAGGCCAGTGCTGGGCTCGGGATGCTCCCTGAGATGACCAGCACTGCAGCAGGGGCACACAAGTTCAGCACTGTTGACACTGGTCACCAGCTGATATTTGCACATGCACCTGCAGCTTGCGGGATGGCCATGCTGGACACGGCAAATAAATAACACTTGAGGCAGCGGGCGCAGCGGCCATCCCACGAGCTGTGTGTGCAGGCAAACAGAGCAGTGGGTCAGTGGGGCACTGCCCTAAGCAAACAAGAAACTGTGAGATGCGCCAAAAACCCTGCAATCACCCCAGTCACAGCAGGTACTGAAGGAGAAAAAAAAAAAAAAAAAGCCAAATATCCCTTCTACAGCATTGTGAACTATGCAAAGGTAGGGTGAAGAAAGTAGGGTAGCCCAAGAACAAACAGTAAAAAAAGTATAAGAACTCTTATATTGGACCAATTAATCTAGTTGAGGTGTTGTCTAAATATTGTCTAATATTTAATAATTTAATCATAAGTCAAATGATTTAAAGTACAAACAAACCAAACAGAGGAGCATCTAAGTTCCATGCTCTTACAAAAAGGTTTTGCAATTAATAGACAAAAGCTCCATCAAGAAGCTGGAGACTAATGTGAATTCAGTTTTCCCATAAGAAAAGTCAGATCTTAGAAGCCTAACTAAATGTTTGCTGTAGTAGAGCCCCGAGTCACGCCCCAGGGAAGATGCACGGATCTCCATGGACGTCTGCCTGCCTTGAGAGTTCAAAGCTGCATCTTTGGGGGCTCACTTTACTTCCTTTAAACTCACTTGAATAGAAAAGGGCTGACAGTGTGTCAGGAGGAGGGAGGGCTGGCACAGACATACACGTGTACACCACGGAAAGGCTGAGGAAAATTACGGTGTCACACGCCAAGGGGAGAGGAGGTTTCACAGCCAGCCCTGCAGCCCATCCAGCCTCATGCTGAGGTCTGCTGTGAGACGGTCACCATGCCACACACCAACTTTATGAGGGCAACACCCCGCTCAGTCTGTCAGTGACACCAAGTCAGGTGGAGATGACACAGGGCATCCCCCAGCACTTGTGCGCCACCCAAGGCATGCCATGACTCGCCAGGTGACACGCTGCAGCATATTCCTACATCTGAGACACAGAACTACAGCACAGCCTGCAGAGGAACTAGAAATAAATAAGGAAATAAATAAAAGGTTTACCTGCCTTTTCCTACCCCAGAAACTTTCTGCCACCCACGCTGCTCCCCACCCGGCCCTGGGCATGTTGATGCAAATCCAGAGCTGGGAAGGTGCCGGCACAGAATCTGCCCCAGGACAGCACCCGCTGCAGGGGCTGGGGAGCCAGCTGCAGCAAAAGCTTGTTGAGACATTTTCTGACAGTGAAAAGAAGAGGTGAACATCCCTCAATACACTGTGGCATTAGGGTTATCTGGGAGATATTAGCACGAATTTTGTTTTCAGCTTGGGAAAGTCAGTACGTGCAGCTTCACCAGTGGTTCCTGCGCCTCCCAGGAAGTTACATTACATTACAACCATTACAACCAGCTCCTCCTGGAAGGGCATCCACTTCTCCCTGTAGAGATTGTGGGCTGGAAGTTTCAAGAAGCACCGTGAACTGGCAGCTAGGGACAGCTGCCAGCACCACTGTCAGCCCACACCTCATCTTCCACATCTACAGGGACAGCAGAGCCCATCCACTGCTGCACAGGGCCCAGACGGCGGCAACACCCCTCCAGCAGAGGCCACCAGGCATCGCTGACCCAACTGCGCACGTGAGCTTACCAATGGATGTTTTGCTCTCCTGCCAAAGGGTCCTATGCAAACAAAACGCTGCACAGCTTCCCCACAAATGCAAAATGAATTGAAATGAATGAGTTGAAATAAAGCAGAGAGTGAGAACAGGACTGACCATTTCTTATGCAGGAACAGCAGCAAGGCTGGCACTGGGATTTTTTTTTTTTTTTTTTGCAAAAAAACAAGGAAATGATCACGGGTGTTTTACAAATTCCCTGTCAAAGGAAAAACAAAAGGATAAGAGTAGATGTGTTTGTTATATAAAAGACTCATAATTAGAAATGAACATAAAAAATTTAATAGCTTGGTTTAAAATACATTTTCAATTAAAAAACAGCAAGCAAAACAAAAAAAAAATCAGTTTCATAAAACATACATGACATTGCTGCTACTGTTATAAGACCCGTGTCCCAGAGTATCTTATAGTGGAAAACAATCATCAGATTTAGTTCACATACTTCATTAAGTAGTAAAAAGAAATAACATTCATGTCAATCTTACCTCTATGGAGACTCTAAAATCTATTTCCCTGACCCTAGACCGAGTTTCTGTAATAAAACTTCCATTTTCAATAAAAATGTGTAAATATATATATATGTATTCTATATATCAGGTTTTTAAAAAAATTCCCTTGCCATAGTAACATTATTCCCGTGACTGATGAAGGGAAGCCCAAGTGGCGGGTTGGCGAGTCCCGTGGCTGCTCTGCAGGCGGTGGTTTCCTGTATGGGGTGGCAGGTGTTGGCCAAGTCTCTGCATGTTGTGCTGCACATCAGCTTCTCTCCTTCAGCTTTGAGCCCATGGGTTCTGTCCACATGCCCACAAAGATGCCTCCATGTGGAGTTTGCTCAACTCCAGCCACAGAGCAAAGAGGGGAGCATGTGGTGCCCAGAGTACTGTCAGCCATGGTGGGCCCATCAACAGAGGAGGAGAAGGAAGGAGGGGGGAATGGAGTGGTCCGTGAACCAGCTCAGGATTGATCCAAATACAAATCCTAAAATACTGTATTTCATGTAAGTCATTAAAAGATAAGGTGGGGAGGGACTTGAAGTGGTCACCTAGTCTCAGCACCAAGGGACAATCAATTACACCGGTGACAGTCCAGAGATAGCTTTGCCCAGCCTGGCTCTGAAGACCTCCAATGCCAAACCACCACCTTCCTGAGCAACCTGCTCTTCTCACTAGAGGAAACCTCCTCAACACCTGACCTGAATCTCCACAAATTACACCCACTACTTGTGCTTGCAATGGATGGGGAGAGCACTTCCACAAGCTTGGGAGGCTGCTCCCATCAACCTTCCCTTCTGAACGTGACTCTCAACCAGCCAAATCATCCAGCCCTTCTGCTTCAGAAGCCACGAGCTCTGCCTGAAGGACCGGATGGTTTGGTCTCTCTGAGACATCCAGTAGGACCAGGCTCTGCTGGCAGGGCACCGCTCTCCAGCAGAGGCCTCAGCGATGCCAAGTAGGGCAAAAGGTGGATCTCCGATTTCCTGCAGGCCATGCTCCTGCTGATCAACTCAATGTGGCATTTAACCTCCCTCTTCCAAACAGCACCACGACAGAGCTGAACAATTTGGGTTATGATTCGTTAACTATCAAGTGGAATCATTAATTATTAAACAGAAGCATATCCTACTTTTCTGGACTATTTCTCCACGCTTTACAGGTTGGCCTTCATGTCCTGAGGCAGGTGAAGCTTTGTGCCATCTAAAAACATTATAAACCTTTTTCATTATCCAGATCCCTAATAAATTCTCTTGACACTGAACATGGCACTCACATTCATCTGCTTACCATGTAATGCACATTTTTGCCTTAGAGCCAAGTACTGCTGTTTAAATGCTCCTCCCTCGCTACTAACCAGAGGGTGCCTTTCCTTCATAAGCACACACACACAAAGAGTAAATAGTGCAGAGCAGTATCTTTTAGAGGTGTTTGGCACTCCTAGCTGGTTCTAGGCTCATGATGCTTGCAGCTGTGTGGTCTCTCCAGCTCAGCAGCAGGTCCATGTGATGCACAGACACCAGGAATGTGTAACCTGCTTGCAGGCCCTACTCCCTGCTAATGCTTGGCCTGCTGAGCCATGATGCCACCTTCCTCTCTCAAAAACCTTGCCTGTGCATTTCCAGTTGTTGACATCCTAGGATTCTGCAAGCTGGCACCAGCCCATGGGTTCATCCAGCCTGAGCTGCTGGTGTGGGCAGCATCCAGCTGAGCCATAAGTACACTGCTACAAAAAAAAAAAAAAATTCCACCTTCCTGACCCCTAGAAGTGAGACTTCAAGGGAACTGCGTCTGCTCAGCTCCTCCTGGGACCCAACTCTCAAACTTGGCCCAAATTACCTCCCAGGGCAGCAGTACCCAGCTGTTTCAAAGTGGCAGTTCTTAAGAGAAGCTAGGACTGCCATCACCTGGCTGTGCAGGAGGGTTTAGGAGAGAGCCAGTACTGTTTTCCTCCCACACAGGAAGATCCATGTTGAACAAGCAGGTCCCTTGTGCCTCCTATGAACGTACAAATGTGTGCTCACCTTTGGTGCATGTTAAGGGTTTGTCCATTTTTAAATATCTATGTTAAATATGTTTTCTCTGTATATGGCATCCTTTTCGATGGGCTTCGTTGCATATATTCACGGTATATACAGAACACCATATTTTATATATATTATATATCACTTGTATGTACACATTTACAAACCTTCAAAAATATATTGCACTTATATACAATATAGCTTCATCTGATGAGAGTTCACACAGTTACTAAGGCGAGTTCTTCATAAGCAAGGCAGTTTTATGTTCCCCCACAGTGACACAAAGGATTTCAACAGTCTGCCCTGGTCACAAGTAAACATTATAAAGACTTTTGTCCAACCTGCATGCAACTCCTACTAATATTAATTAGTAGTTGTGCAGCTGTACCTAGCAGAAAACAGTCCAGTAAAATGGTATTAGCTGATAAAGGGCTCAAACATGGTTACTGAATAGATAAATAAGATATCACCAGTCTAAAAGGCCACCTTCCAGGAGTTTTACCCTCCTGTATTTACTAGTGTTTTATACACTAGTATAAATATATACATGCTCTCCATTTAATTGCAGATCTTTGCTCGCTCATTTCAAGTGCAAACAAGGTCATGAGCAAGAACAGAAACACAAATGTATTAAGCAAAACCACTGCTCTGCTCCCCAGAACAAGTCAACACATGGCTTTCTTCTGGAGAAGGTCATTAGTGTTTTGCCCAACATGCTGAATTATGGGAAAGTGTTCACTTGAGACCTTTGTTTAAAATCCACAGAGGATCTGTGATTTTAGATCTCAGTCAGAGTGAGCTTATAAGATCCTCCAACTTCTTCAATCTGCAACTGGAAGGTATCTTCGTTAGAATAGTGTTTCACAATGTTATCATCCATGTTGACCAGAATTCTGGAAAAATAAAACAATTAGATATATTACAGTTCTAAATGCCAGAGACAGCAAAGGCACCCTCAAATCTCAGAAAGCCTGGACTATCCAGGAGTAACACCAGATCTCTGCTCACCTCTCTCTGACTCATTGCTTCCTATAGCAGATCTGGCTGTCCTTACCTAAACCTGCCATCAAAACTTGCAACCACACTTTTAGGATCTGAATGGAAGGGTTAAATCAGGCTCCTGGACCAGGAAGGGAGAGAGATCTTGGCAGAAATCCTCCTGAAGCTGCAGACACGTGGGGCTCTTAATGGGTTTGCTTGACAGTTTATAAACTATCAGCACAAAACCCTACAGAGTTTGCAGGGAAGAAACCACCAATACTTGGCCACTTCTTCCATTTGCCAGAAAGGCTGATACCTGTGTGTTTGTGGGCACACATGCATACAAAGCTGTGCTTAGCAATGATTAGGTACCATAAATTCTAAACTTTTGCAGCTATTCTGGTGGGGTAATTCTGCTATAAAAGTACAATCCTTGAAAGATGTAATTTTCCAGCCAGAAGGGCTTTGGTGAAGGGGCTGAAACATCAAAGTGACTTTAGAAAAAACCCCAAAAAGTTACTGAGAAATTAAAAGGAAAAGCAAAAGTGAATCCCATTATTTATGCCACAAAATGAAAACATGGTGGAGTGTGGCCTCTGTGAGAAACAAACACAATAAAGTGCTCTTCAATTGAGCTCACAAAAAGAAAACCAGGTGTAGTAATTGTAGCCATATGGAGATATAGTGAGCACAATCAACCACTGGAACAATTTAACATGCACTGAAGGAGGTTCATCATCACTGTGAGTCTTTAAACAAACTGAACTCCTCTTCCTCTGACATGATCAACTTCAGTTCAACTAGCAATTAGCTCACAGAGGTTCTATGACTTGTATTTACCCAGGAAGTTACATATTTCTATAGCACCCTTCCTATAGTCTTCCAGTCTTCAGCTCTAGGAATGATGTTGGAATGTGTGTATGTTGTGCACACACACACACATAACTGCGCGTGGCTTTCATATACGTGCAGTGTATGAGGAATTATAAAGCAGACCTGCCTACAGTTTTGAAAAAAGGTGTTCATATTCTCAGGCAGTTTTTGCATAGGTACGTACTCACCCTTTTTTACACTTTTTGAAGATTTTTCCTATTTTATCAAAAGGAACGTCATACTTGTCAGATATCTAGAATGAAAGACAGCAATCATTGGTAAGGCAAGAAGACTGCTGGCACCATTCTCCCCTTCCTATTTTACAGAAGGGAACAAAAAAAAAAAAGCCTGCAAATGAAGGCAACTGCTCTGCTCTATAAAGGCAACACTACATCCTGACTTACAGCATAAGCCTACAGATGAGAAACCCTCCTCTGCTGTTTGCCAACTTCTGTGAAAAAAATTTAATTATGTTTGAAACCTGGCCACTGACTTCTCATACAGCAACCTCCTGCCCCTACACCCAAAAGCCAATGCATTAAAAACCCTCTCCACACCCTGACTCTCATTCTCTCTTGACCGTCTGTTCTCTTAGCATACTGAAACACATTTTTAAGTTCAGTGCCAGAGGGATCAAATGAAAACTAGTCATGACAGCAGGAAGAAAATAGCAGCGGAGTGAAGCTCTCTGCTGCTAAGGGCACAAGGTGATCAGAAACATTCCCCTTACCCAGCGAGGTGATGTCAGTGTGAAACCACAGCCAATTGACCATGGCACCTCACTGCACTCCAGAAAGTCAGGAGGTCAGTAACCTAAGCCTGGTTTACTTTGGCAAATTGCTCTATCACACCAACAACAAGTACCAAACCAATACGCTGTTTCAGCACGCAGAAAAAGCACACGGAGTTTCCCCCAAGGCCCAGCTGTGAGCTCTTGGTTCCTTGCTTTGAGAAATCCAAGTGTAACAAAGGTGCAGCTTCATTTCAGGACCACAGAGCAAGGGAGGATTTCACAGCCTTCAATACCTCTCTCCAATAGCTCCCCACCTCTAGCTGTCTGTGCTGGCAAAGCCTCAAAGCCAGGGAGAGATAAAGATTCTGGTTACAGAACCGTCTCTGGGTCTCAAAGCTCATGGCAAGACCTGTCTGTAGAGCCCCAAGCTCCTGTGCTCTGAGCATCAGCAAGGCATTAGTCACAGAAAGAGACAGACAGAAACGTCAGTTTTGAGCTCCTGCCAAACATTACACCATTCCTTGGACTTAAGCTCTGTACTTCCCTTGCACTGCAGCAGCAGGGGTAGTGGAAGGCTGTTTTGAAAGTCAAGTGCCAGAGAGCAATTTCACACATGTGCACAGATATATAACAGTCTTCAAGCACACACAGAAGCTGGGACTTGGAGCTCTGCATTGCTGCTCATGAAATGAGAGGGGAGGCCCCCAAACAAGGCTTTGAAAGACTGAAACAAACCCAAACCACTGAACACATTCTGAGAATCACTCCATCTTCTAACTAAAATACCCTCTCTGACAAGAGGAACATCCAGTCATCAAGTCTGACATGTGTGGATTTTCAGGAAGGCTTCTTACACCCAGACCCCACAGATGTGGGAGAAGGTGCTTAAAAGAGAAGCTTCCTGAAGTCCCTTAATAATAAATTAAAGCATTACTTAAATTAATTTCCATGTTATTGAAAGGAAATCAGCCTTATGCTTCTTATCCAGAAGGGCAGAAATATGTGGACACAAGCTGTGATTGAGAGTGTGACTCCTGTGACTGTCCAGTGTGTCAGGACTGGGTAGCCAGGGCTACTCGCTCTGTCTCAAGTAGGAGGCAAAGACTGTAAAACAACCTCATCACTTACCGCTTCCATTAGGCCTTTCAGAGATGGTGTCTTTAACATTAGTGCATCAAACACTTCCTCTGACTCTTTTCGGACATACAGCAACACTGAAAAGCAATTTGGACAGAGGAATTAACTGTGTAATTGGTCCTCTAAAAGATCTGTATCCCACAGTGGCTAAGCACACAGTGACACACCTTGAGGATTTTATGAAGAGATGGACTTATGTTCAGTATCCACTGCAGACTGCATCACAAACATGCATGGCTAGGTTAGCTCAAAACACACTTTTTTTTGCACATAAAGCTATTGCATGGTCAAGCATCTTTATTGTCAAAACACTTGAATATTTTCTCTATTTGGTATTTTCTCTATTCTTTGAAAAAAGGTCATACTTGAAATACAGAAAGGAGAAAACACAAACCTTTGAGACTCTTGGGTTCCTCTGTATCTCACAGGTTATCTGCCCTAAGACTTGGCACAGTCAAATGATCTGACAGATGCTACCACACCACGTGAAGCCCATCCTGGACATCTTCTAATTTTTAAATAATTTATTTGTACAGTCCTCTGCTCCTCCTAGCTGTCTCATCTCTCTTCCTATCCCTTGCTGGGTTTCAGTAATGCTCATACCACCACAGCTGACAGACAATACAGGCTTGGTCTCCTGCTAGGAGGGGAATGAAGGACTAAGAAGCCCAATTAGGTGAGAATCCCTAGCGTTCTCAAGCTAGCACAGAGTCACTGTATGTAACATCAGCCTCATTACAAACTGAATTAAGGTTGAGGAATAAGCCAGAAGAGCAAGAAAGCTTGGACTTTAACAGCTTTGCTGTCTTTAATCCACCTCCTAATGACTAGGTATTTCAGACTGGATTCTTTGCAGGCGTTTATCAGCCACAGCTTTGACACACCTGCAACAGGGAACAACTACTGGCATTTCTAATTGAACAAGGTCAACTCAGGACAGCACAGCACCTGGATGCATTTCCTCTGCTAAAGGCAGGTTTAAAAAAGAAGGACTGTAGATCTAAAAAAGGAAGACAGCACACATGCTCTCAGTTACAGCACAGGTCAGATGACACCCAGTCAAAGGAGAAAGAATGCAATGGGTCTTGTTTTATGGCATACAGAAACATGAAAAAACAAGAAGTCTAATTGCCTTTTATAAAATCCTTACTAGTTTATCCAGACTACAGAAGTGCAGCCCCATTATGGTCAGACTTGCTAGACTAAACCTTTGCTGCAACACAAGTTTAATCTTTCAAGTTTCATTGTGGTTCTTCCACACATGACCGTCATCAGGCAAGTAGACCATCTCCACCACTCCAAAGGGACCTATTATCTCCTTCCACAACATCACAGCAACATCCAGTCCCACGTGAAATTGCAAAGCTTGAAACACAGTTAAAATTAGCAGAATATTCTCTTAGCCCATTTTCTGGCATCATGAAAGATGCAACAATCTTATACCTAAAACCAGTTCTTGAGTATTGCTTGAAGTCCTGGAGCAGATTTCCAGATTTTGTAGTGGATTACATGATAAATTCTCTTCCCCAATCCACTAGGGAGACTGGTAAGCTGCTCACCTCCTTTTGACTTTCTTTCCTTACAGGTTCAGAGCCAATTAGTGTCTGAGTTGGCAGAAAACCCCAAACATTATGGCACTAAAAGATTTGCAGAGCTGAACTACATCCTGATACACAAACTGTCACTACTCAAAGCCAGAGAAATCAAGCTGAAGTATATACCAAAATAAATTAAAACACTCTTTAACCTCAGCTGCATCTCTCTATCATAATGGACAAATACTCCAACTATTCAGTCACTGAAAGAAGAAAATACCTCTTTTTGGCTCTTCTATTCTGGCCATCTTATTTGGAGTAGCAATGAAGTCCTCTTCACCAATATAAGCTCCTCTCTTCAGGTTGGAGCTGTCATTGACAGGGCAAAAAGTCAGCAATTGTACAATTACAGGGACTTATCCCTCTGTCTGAGAGCAAGACATCAGTAGGTTGAAGAAGGGCAGCTCTTACCTTTCACCCTCCAGTTCTTCTGAAGCAACAGGAAGGACCTTTCAAAACAAAGGAGAGATTTCGTGAAAATTTTATCCAGAACTAGAATTCATTTCTTCTTATAATCTTTCAAACCTGTATCAAATGACACTTTCAATCAATCTTCCAAAAGCCAGTAAGCATCCACTTTACCTTTTTTCATAAAAAGGATTAAAGGATCTCCAATGAGAGAGACAGGAATAAAAAACAGTTAATCCTCTTTCTACCTGGACTGGTGCAGAGTCCTCTGACAGACCTCAGCACTAGGGCCTTTGTAGGAAAACATGCAGAAGTTTATTCTCCATCCCTGCTAGGAGCCTAGACAATGCTCTTATAAAAAGTTTAGATTATATTAAGAGCACACCAGAACTCCCAGCTCAGGCAAGTCCAAGATTTTGAAACCTGGTTGCACAATAATTTTTTCCCTTCCAGTTTCCTGTAAACTGGAACTTTCCAGGAACACTGAGGCAGGGTGCTCTGGCAGCAGATCACAGAGCTGACACACGTGCCAGTTCCACAGGACGGCTTCTCACCCTGCAGCAGGCGGGTGGAGGAGCCTGCACTGTACAACAGCACACCAGGATCCCAACGGGCACTGCCAGGGAAAACCAGCCTGCAATTCACTCAGCAGAGTTGCTCTGTAAAAACCCTTTCAGATTCATGGAAACTGGACTTCATAGGAAACTAATTTGATAGGAAAACATCCCCAGTTAACTCCTGCCAATGCAGCTTGGAGCAACAACCCTTGCTCACATGAGACTCTGCCTGTATTTGACTGCAGCATTGATGCAGACAGTCTGACATTTCGTGTGCACACACAGCATCCCAGAGCCTCTTCATCCCCACATCCATGAGCTTTACTTACGTGAGCTCCACGCTGGAGGTTTGCAAAGTGAACGTCAGGAATGAAAAGGACAGGCTGAGTGTCCAGATCCATGAAGGGCTTGAAGATGGTGATGTCGGTACGTTTGTGTGAGGGAAGCATAGGCACTTTGACATCAGAAACTGCAGAGACAAAGATCAGAAGAAAGGATAGTGAAGGCCCTGATGGGGCTGTGGCTTTCCTCCATCATTTAAAATGCACATATGCTATTGAACAAGGGTACGCTGTAGTCAGGGTCAAATAAAAAAGTTTCTGTAGTGAGAGAGTTTGAACTTGGATTGCCAACCTCTCAACTGAGGGCCTGGGCCCTAAAGAAACAGCTTGTTTCACAGAGTAGTAAAAGTTTTCTCTCTCTCTCTCTCTCCAATTGAGCTGCTTGATTTTGTTCAGATATTAAGCAGGATGGAGAATAACCTGGTCACGCACCCCAGCAGAGGAACCCAGGTCTTCCATGTACCAAGCAAACCATGCAGACAGAGGGCAAAAACTAGTCCATGTCCCACCTTTTCCCCGTCCGTTCCCTCAAAAGCTTGCTGGTGTTCCCATACCAAGAAGGCAGAAAGAAGACAAGGGGACAACTTGCAACTCAGGGGGTCCCAGTTGGGAACCTCCCAGAGAGACAGCATCACAAGAGCACTACCCACTACAGATGTAGTACAAATTGTGGGGTTTGCAAGTTGCTACACTTATTGTTACATTTTGATTCCACACTTTCAATTTTCACATTTGGGTTCATCTCATTGTTCATCCTGGTCACCTCAAGCTGCCAGATCCTAGTCCACCTCCTCCAAGGACCAGTACTGTCTCCTACGGGGCACTTTGGCTCTCACAATGCACCAGCTGACGTGACACAAGCCACCAAGAGGGCAGACTTCAACCACAAAGACCCAATTCAGAGAAAGTGAGACAGGAGGTGCCTTAAACTGCACTTCAGACACGTTTATGTCAAACTACCACAGCTAACGACTTCATTTTACCAAGTGGAAACATATCAATTTGGGGTCAAACCAACTGCAAACAAAAAAAGTGTTTTGCAAAAAAACCCACTTCATTTCTCATGTCCTCAGTAGAAGATACACCTTTTTCTCCTTGCAAAACTGAGTTTCTTAAAGATTGAGCAATCCCTACAAAAATAACTTTGACCAAAAGCCACCAACTATTTCTGCTATTGATGAGGCCATGCACACGTGGCATTTGTGATCCTGCAGGTGGGTGTAACAGCTTATGGCTTAAAGGAATCAAAAACTTCCCACACTAGAACTAAAGAGCAAAGGATTGTACTTTCCAGGAAAATTAGGGTCACATCAGGCTAAGCCCAAGCCTAGAAAATTAATAATGGAAAGCAGCTTTTGTAAAATCATAAGATCCTGGAAATGTGAATTGAAACTGTCCTCCCTTTCCAGCCATTACGCAAAGGGCTGTGTGCAATAATTTTTTGAAAGCCTCTGGGGCTACTTCATTTGTGAAATGCTAACAGTGTCTAAACCTACCTCTCACCATGTACTTCGGGGAAAAAACAAAAACCCAGCCCTTTCCACAACTGCCCTTGAGCAAATGGGTTCCCTTACAGCATTATCTTCTTCTGAAGCTGCTCCAGCAGCCTGTACCTGCTGCGTCAGGAAAATCCTGCCCGACAAGCTGTGAGGCGCCTGCTTGTTGAACCAGTCGGGCTGTTAATAGCACACGGTGCAGAGCAAGTGAGAGCACGCACCTGCCCCGTGCAAACAAAGAACAGGGACACACATTTTCCTCTAAGCAGCTCTGCTAGTGAATAACTAGTCATCCAAGCACAGGATCTGTCATCTGCAGTAGCTAAAGGAAGATGCTCAGCAGAAAGAAACTCCTCAGCCTTTACATACTACAGTGCTGAGGTCTCCACATCCTTCACAATGCAGAAACTTTGAAGTTACTTACTAAGGACCACTTTGCTCCAGAAGGGTGAGCATCGGGCTGGGAGGCTGGAGGCTCAGCCCTAAGGCTGCTGCTGCCTCGGTGAGGAGTTGTAAAACGTTTTTAATGTAAGTTAAAGCCTAAGGTTAGGATCAAGCTGGAAACACTTGGAACAGATGCAGTTCTCGCTGCCACCTGGATCGGCAGAGGCTCCAGCAGTGCCCAAGAATCCCACCCTCACCTTGTCACTTCAACTGCTACAACCCATACCTGATTGAATACACAGCAGGACCCTGTCTAGGACAGAAAGAACTATGCAGAACAAAGCCCACTGTATTGCAGAACACGACAACTCCATCCACAACTGCTTAAAACAAGCACTACTCCATATGGAAAAAAATTGAACTTTAGAGTTCTACTGCACAAGATATTTGTAGCCAAAAATCAAAACTAGTATTTAAAACACGGATGGAATAATTTCTACTTACAGGCATTCAACTGAGAGCTGGGATCAGTGCACTTGCCTTTTCTTTTGCTTTGCTTTCGCTCTTCATCCCTGATCTTCCTCTCTGCTCCCTGTCAGACAAGAGATTAAGGGAAAGGGGGGAGAGAGAAAGGGAGAGAAAAAGAGAGACTTTTTAATTTTTATTTTTTTTTTCAGCTGCAGAGACAGGAACACCAGTTATCCCAGAGTAGTGTTTGTGGAGGTCAGCTCCGCAGAACCCAGCTCTAGGTTTGTCAGTGAGTGCCAACTGAGATCTGCTTACTTTTGAGACCTGTCATCTAATGAAATCCAACAACCATGCCCAAGATGCGAACACTTTCTTCCCTTTTAAGTCAGATAGGGATAGGATGACAAAAGATACCCACATCTATAACAATTGTATAAAGTGTGAGATAAAAATACAGCTTAAATGTTTAAGACAATAAAAAAATTACACATTCCCTCAGTTCACTTGATAGATCCTGATCTATAGAAGTCACACCACACTTGGATCACCAAGTGCAAGATGCCTTTCTGCATATTTCACACCGAGCCTGCAGCAGTTATACCAGCCTCCACTCATCTCAGACTGCAGACATGCATCCTTTTAAATCAGGTATTATTTCTTCTCTTTTCATCAGGGCCAGGCCATGGTGGAATCCACAGATGCCTAACTTCATGCCTGCACTGTTCCTGGCCTTCCAAACCAAGTAGCTGTGGGGACAGTGCCGTATTTTCTGCAAGGTGCAGACAACTATGATAGAGGGAGAAGGAAGGAAGAAGGTTTGTACTGGAATAGTGTTAATTTGTCCCGCTGACCAGACCTCACATGTGACTGTGGGTTGTCAGGGATGTCACGTTGCCAGTTCCATGAGGTGATAAGCCCACAGTAGATCCCCAACACTCAATCCTGGTGTTACCACCAGATTACTGCCCAAACTGGTACACACGAGTTCTACCTGTCTCCCAACACCCTCCTGCAAAGCAGGGTAAAAGGTAACAGTTATATGGCCACAGGAAGCCATTATTTCTCATTCCCACCCCTGCAAAGCTGACAAAACACACCCCCATTCTCACATGGTGCTGGGGGAAGAAGAGATTAGCTATGACAAACACGGTGTCAAAAAACCACGTGGCAATGGGATCAGAATTGGTGCCTAATGGTGCACAACGTGGGAGAACAGCCCTCCTTACTTCCCACTAAATCAGTGCTCTACAGGTGTCAAGCTGCCTATGCCTGCTAGGTAGCAGTGGGAACATCTGCGCTAGCAATAAGAAGGAAAGTTAGCCAAGATATTTGATGCACATTAATATGTATCATCTTTTCTCCCACCTAATGACAGTGACACAAGCAGCTTCAGGCAGTTACTGTGAAAAAGAGAAAAAAATTACACGTGGAGATACAGGCATTGCCAGCTCTGCTTGACCCCATAAAGATTATACAGCTACTACAGTGAAGACATCCCACCTACACCTCAGTAGAGCTGGACCCACACCCCTCTGTGACTTCCCTCACCAGAACAGTCACAACATCTCAGCTTGAGAGCAGAAAGATCAGATTGGCTCCAGATTTGATTTTTACCTTTCATGTGGAAATAATAAAGTCCTGCTACTCAAACACTATGCTACAGAACAGCACCTGCTTCCTTGTGGAGAACATGCTGATCCAACAAGAGCACACATTTTGAGAAAACCTCTGCCCTCTCATTCCCTGCTTGAAAGTCAACTTGATCCAAGCTACTGGGGCCCAGGTAAACATATCTCAAAGCCCACATAAAAAAAGCAAGTTATGTCTTGATAACAGGCTTTTCTGCCTTGCCAGCAGAGCTCAGGGAGAAGTGTTTTTAAACCGAATAAGGGTAGATTTATATTAAACAGGAGGAGGAAGTTTTTTTATGATGAGGGTGATAAGACACTGGAAGAGGTTACCCATGAGAAGCTATGGATGCCCCATACGTAGAAGTGTTCAAGGCTAGGTTAGACAGGGCTTTGAGCAACCTGGTTTAGTGGAAGGCATTCCTTGCCAATGGCAGAGGTCTGGGCTAGATGACCTTAAGAGTCTTGTCCAATCCAAACCATTCTGTTATCATGCTAATAAAGGAACAGTCTCCGTGTTGCTGCCCACCCTGCCCCCAGCCACCTGGCACCCAATTCCCTCCTTCCAGCAGCATCTCACTCACTTCTTCCTACCATCCCACAAAAGCCTTCCCACAGCACTGCCCATCGGTACCAGAGTAACAGCAGATCCCAGAGGGCAACACTAACTATAATCTGTGAAACCCTCTATTTAATCTTCTTCATGTGGATGTGTAGCCAAGGTACCCTTTACAGCAGAGAAGGTCGTCTTCCTTTGGGACAGGTCAGCCCTACCCCTGCACAGCCCAAATATTCAAAAGCCTGAATGAAGCTTGTACCATAACATGTAATAGGATGACATCATTACACCCATACTGCTTTACACAGGTCTTGAAACCACACAGGATTAGATAAAAACCAAACATCCTGGGCATCTGTGGACACCCTTTCCACAGAGAGAGCACAAAGGAGAAAGATAGAAACACATGAAGAAACTTGCCTCAGAGGCAGCAGATAATAAGTAGAAACGTATCAGGAGTTTTCCCTTCCACCCAAGCATGGGAACCGTCCTCTTTACTGCTTCCCTGTGTGAAGGCCCCCCCATAACATCAACTAAACTGTCTGACCTTCCGTAGGATATCTATCGATTTGTACAAAGAAAAAAGAGACAGCGGAGGATTGCCATGCCACTATCTGGGTTCAAAGTCAGTTCAGGCATGCAGTGCAAGCACAGCCCTAACAGACAAAGGAACTGAGGACACGTACACAGAGCTGTCCCTGTTAGGAGGCCACAGCATCAAAATTTGCTGGTTTTTTTTTCCACTTCCACACTATGGGCTTGGACCTACACAGAATAAACATGGATAACAGAACTTCTACAGGTAAGAGTGGCCACACAAGGACAAACACATTCAGGACTGCAACAGGTGTGGGTGCTATAGTAACAATGGTCCTGTAAACATTCAATACCAGCTGACTGATTACCCAAGATTCAATGCAGGGCAGAAAATAGGTGCCCTTTCTGAAACACCAATGCTCTTATAGGAGCCTGGAGTAAGCAGCCAGCATCAGGGTCAATGAGCACATTGGGTTTGTGTGGCAAGGTTTTGGTGTGGCAGTTTGGGGGCATTACAGGGGTGGCTGCTCTGAGAAGGTGTTTATTCTAAGAAGCAACTTGCCCCATGGCCAACAGCTGACTCCAAGACAGACCTGCCCCTGGCCAAGGCCCAGCAGCAATAGTGGTAGTGCCTCTGGGCTAATGAATTGAAGAAAGGGAGAAAACCCTCTGTGCAGCAGCTGTCAGAAGAGACAAGGGAGAATATGTGAGAGAAACAGTTCTGGAGATAAAGGTCAGTGAAGGAAGGGGAGAAGGTGCTCCACGCTCTGGAGCTCCAGGTGCTCCAGGAGCTGAGGTTCCCCTGCAGCCTGTGGTACAAACCATGGTGAGCAGGCTGTCCCCCTGCAGCCCATGGAGGACCCCCACACCAGAGCAAGTGGATGGCCGAAGGAAGCTATGACTCCATGGGAAGCCCCTGCTGGAGCAGGCAGGGTCCTGGCAGGACCTGTGGCCCCTTGGAGAGAGCAGCCCACACTGGAGCAGGTTTACTGGAAGGACTTGTGACCCCATGGGGGACCTACACTGGAGCAGTTTGTGAAGAACTGCAGTCTTTGGGATGAACTCGTGTTGCAGAAGTTTCTGGAGGATTGTCTCCTGTGGGAGGGACCCACAATGGTGCAGCAGGGGAACAGTGTGAGGAGTTCTCCTGCTGAGGAGGAAGGAGCAGCAGACATGTAATGAACTGACTGCAACCTCCATTCCCTGTTCCCATGTGCTGCTGTGGGGAGGAGGGACATAATTACGGAGTGAAGTTGAGCCCAGAAAGAAGAGGGGGGAGAGGGAAGGTGCTTTAAGATTAGATTCAGTTTTATTTTTTATTATCCTGTTCTGATTTTCATTGGCATTTCTCTTTCCTTCCCTCTTCTTTTAATTCAGGTACAATCTGCAGTGTCTAGAGGAATAAAGCAGGAGAATAAGTCAAAATCCCAAAAGAAAATAAAACCTGTACTGGCATTCCTGGACTACTAGATTTGCTGAAATTTCTGGCAGACTCCAATGGTCTCCATCAAGTTATGTAGAGTACACATCTGCCTTTTTATTAACTGATCTGTCTTATTAGCAGTGGCACAAGCCTGTCAGTAATTTTAGCACGGTGTCAGTAACCGACTGAACAACTCAGGAGTAAAAGATCCCCCCTACCCTGCAGCAAGTTCATATTCACTGTACTGTAGAGAATACAAGTTGATAACACACAAGACTACAAGATTACTTTAATGAAAGAACTTTAGATGACATGCTTGCCTCAGTCTCATCTTGAAGAAAAAAATTTTAGAAAAGGAGAAAAAAAAAAAGACCTGAAGAAAGCCCATGAGACTAAAGCTTCTTAGGCTTACTGGCAAGTCTTTAAGATGGCTCTGGAAAGCCTTTGCTATCTCCCTGTTGATTCTTTGCTGAAAGCATCACAATGGGAGCAGCTACAGGCAGCTCTCTCAGGAAAGCAGAGAGGCCAATTTGAAGGCACATAGATGGACAACAGAACACAGCAGGGTGAGTCAAGGGATGCTACAGCAGGGGGACAGTGCAGAGGGCTCTGCATATTTTGGGCAGTAAGTGGAGGCAGAACAGTGGTGTGTGAGATGAATCTTTGGGTCAGTGTCTGGGGGGGTCACCAGGGCAAAGCCAGCACAGACGTAGAGAGTGAGGGTTACAAGCCCACCTCAGACCTACAGCTGCACAGAGATATTTGAGATATCACTTGTAAAAGTCTGTCCTATGAAGATGGAGTCTGGATGCAAAGAATGAGAGGCTCTAATCAAGTAGGATATCAGCAAAACAGGGAGTCCACATGATTCACAGCAATCAAAGGAAGGACTAAGGAAGTCCAGGAAGCATTTATCTCTGCCTAGGACAATCTGGTCACTCTGGAAATAGCAACACTGCACATTACTTGCCCTGGTACTTCAAAAGACTCAGCAGCAACAGGCTATAAAGCCTGGGAAAGAGCCTTTCTTTGCAGTTAAGCTTTTACAGCTGATTCCAGCTCAGCTCCTACTGTTTCTTTCACAGCTTCTGGTGAGCAGTGGCTTTGAGACAGGCATCAATTCCCTGTGGGCTAAATTCCTAAGGCAGAGCAGTCAAACCACAGCACCCAGCCAGCTTTTAAAGGGGTTTTGCTACACTAATGTATTGCACGGTGATACATTTTCTGCTCACAAGATCTGCAAGTTATTGGTTGTGGGGTTTTTTGTTTGGTTGGTTTTTGTGGTCTTGTTTGGTTGGGTTTTTTTGTGGTTGTTTTTGTTTGTTTGTTTTTAATAACAAATGCAGGAAGAACACGCAAAGAAATTTCAAAGGACCAAGACAACACAGCCTGGGCAAAAAGACAAGCCTTCTCTTTCTTGCTCCAATCATTGGCACTGATTTCTCCTGCTGAAGGCACTCTGCAAGACTTCCCAGTGTCAGTCTGCCACTGACTGACCTTTCTCCAAAGTCAATGCTCAGGAACACTTCTCAGCACTCCAGCATTTTGAGAGCACCAAATTTATCTGAGGTCATCACAACATCTATGAGCCAAGGAGAAGGGGTTGAAATTTTTTCCTTGCAAAGGCTAGACACAGACAGGACTTTTCAGTGAGCCAAAATAGCAAGTGACAGAATTAGGGGGAGAAAAAAAAAGGCAGCTAAGCTGTGAAACAGCCTTTCCCAAACAGTCTCTGGCACAGTGACCAAACCTTACCTTGTCACAGAAGACTTTAATTTGGCAGTAGGCTCTGTGGACAGGTTTGTTACTCCTGTTATTGTAGCTGTAGGTGTCAATCTGAAGATTCAGGGGCAGGCCTTTAACTCCCTTCTGAGAGGAGAAGTCTGTGCTGAGGCAGTTCACAGAAATGAAAACCTGCAGAAGAAGAAAGCAGAACCCATCAGGAGTGACACATGGACTCCTGGCTGAGTCCCTGAGCAAGGGACTACTCGGTCACTGCTGAGACCTAAATGCTGGTCCTTGCCATTACAAGCAGGACCTTCTTTATTCTGAGCATCAGGTAAAAATCCCCAAGCACCACAACATTCTTAAGTCTTTATATAAACCATTAGAGGGGACAAAGCCACTTTGTCCAGAATAGATTTCAACAAACTCTCCAAACTTTAGGAAGACTCCACCCATCTTTCCCAGATTTTTCCACCCAAGAAATCTCAAATATCATCAAATTTTTAGCAGAAGGAATCCTCACTGCTCAGTGTTTAACACCCTGTTAAGGACACAACCATGCTTTGAAAAATTTATGCTATTTTAAGGCAAGTTAAAACAACTCTTTTCCTGAGTTTTACATAAGCTGCTGCTACCACAGCTTATGCTTGGAACTACTCGGTTGGAGGGGTTTTATGTTGTTTTTTGTAAATGTTATTAAAAGTTTTTAAAAAATATTAAGCAGCACATTATCTTTCAACAAAAGAATAATGCCATTATTTCAGTAAAAGTTTTGAGGCTTCATACTAAGAAGTTAAAACTACTTTGAATATTCCTCAGTAAGACCTGCAATATCCTGTTAATATTCAGATTAAAAGGAAAAGAGAAATATTTGTATTATTCTTATAAAAAACTGAATTACAGGGGAAATTACTGTGATTTTAAACATATCTAATTTAATTTTCATAATGGTCTAAAAAAACCAAGAAAAAACTAAGAAGCCAAAACACACATGCAGGCAGAGAACAAGTCCAATGCTGCTTAATAGAAGGAATAAGTATCCTTATGTGGGTATGAACAGATAGATCAGAGCAGTTTCTATCCAGAACACGGACTTGCACAATGCCCATTACCAGCACGTCTCAGAAGAAGCTGCAAGGATTAATTACCAGGAATTTACGAGCCACCAAGACCTGCAATGACTCCTCTCTTCCCTGCCTCAAGAATAGAGGCTGGGAGCTCACCGCTTCACAAAAATAATCAAAAGCCTTGGGAGCCAGAATCACCTTCCCAGAGATCTTGCAGCAGCACCATCCCACGGCCCGATGGCTCAGGGATCGCGGTGCATCCGGGAAGCGCCGTTCGAGCCTCCGCAGTGAGCTGGTGCCACCTCCCGGAGCTGCAAAGGCTCACGCCAGGCGCGGAAGAGCTTATGGGCTTGGGTTTTGCTGAGTGCCGCTTATCACCCTTTACCAGTTTTAACAAAAGAGGGGAAATGGAAATGTTGTAATATCACCAGATGAGGGTTATTAAGCAATTGTTTTTCCCCCCGCCATGGTTGGTTTTTTCCATCTTTTTGCCGTATAAAAAGACAGGGCAGGGAGGAAGAATAGTGCAATTAAGTGTCTTCTCTCTCTTCTCCCAAACCTGTGCTGTTCCATGACAACTTTTTGTGAAAGTGTTAAATACATCTCAAATCACAGCCAGGAAAATTATTTTCAAATAAGCTCTTCTCAGTCTTTCCCAGATCAACTCAAAGGATGGCTTTGCCGGCTTTTATCCACCAGGCTTCCCTTTTTGCTACCTTTGGCTTTGCAAGGGCATTTTGCCTGCAGCACTGGCACACCCCGGGAGGAAGCTTCAAGGAGTTTGAAGAGCTGCTCTCACCGGCTTAGGAGCTAGGTAATCAGATGTATGCACAGCCTGAATAATTGCCTTCCCTGAGGAGGGGTTTTGTTTTTTAAAAGACCCTCAGCTCTGGTGTTTGCATATTTTTACATTTTAAATTTTAATTTTAAATTAACCTACACTGAATATTCATGCATAACTCATTTCTGTATGAAAAAATTACTTCATTCTTTAAGGACAACATGCCCAAGCAACCATGTCAGCAGGTCTACCACCACCCCAAAATTTCTGTGAAATCCCTCAGTTGAGTTTCACATCACTGGACACCAGCAGACTCAGTGTTGAACACCAGTCACCAGTTCTCCAGCATGTGTTGTCACTTCTCTTTCAAGACTTCAGGTCTGTTTTCAGTTTTTTATGGCTGACCAGCCACATAAAGCCCATGCACCACACTGGGCTGAACTCAGCATGACAGATGCATGATACTACAGTGGAGCTGCATGGGTATCCCATGGGAATTTAGGTATGCTTGTCAGATGACAAAGATTATCCTCCTGCTTTAGAGTCTCCTCATTTGATTAGCTTTGGCCTCAAGCAGCTGACTTCATTTTCATACCATTTAAGTCTTCAGGACTCTAGGTAAGAGATGACAACTAAAACCTAATCACCTCTCTGAAGCAACAGGGAGCCACCAGCCTGTCCTCTCTTTGTACTGAGCCAGTACAAAAGGACCATATACTTCTCCCTACTCATCCCATAACTCCTATTTTTGAGTAGCTTCAGGTTGCCTCAAGTTTCACAAAACAAGAGTTTTAGCAAACAGCTTTTCCAGTTTGGGCTAAAACAGTTTCAACCAGGTGCTTTCTGTTCAGGAAGATTTGACTTGCATTCTAAAAGGAACATAAGGCGAAGTGACTGTGCCAGCTACATCCCCACCCCAAAATTGCCAGAAGAAAGAAAAACATAACCGCAGAAGTTGTTCTGCGTCTTCAGCCTGCTGAGCAAGATTCCTTTTCATGTGTTCAACCTATTTTTCTAAGGGCAGTTCCGCATTCTCAGCTATATTAAGATTTGTTGTTACTTAAAAAAAAAAAAAAAACAACCAAAAAAACAAACAAAAAACCCATTTTCATCTTGCCTCCCAAGATTCAACATAAAGACAGCACTTAAAAATAGAGCACTGTCAGGCTGTCAAGCACTCTGTCAAGCCTGGGCACTTACAAACATGAGTAAGGCCCTCAGAAGCTACCCAGATTTTCTTTAAAATTGAGATTTCTAAAGGGATTGGAAACTTGTTCTCAAGTTATTTTGCTTGCTTGGCAGTTAAGCCTTTAGTCTATATTTGAATCATATATCCAACCAACTCAGGCTTTATTTTTCTTTTCCTTTTTGTTAATTTTTTCCATGCTTTTTCTAACTCTTGCTCACAAAAGCTGAGATACTCATTGAGAAAAATGGCTCCCCAACGGTGGGGTCTCAGATGAAGCACCAAACAGCACAAAAAGTTTGAGCTGGTACGAACTGCTAACCCCCCCTCACCCGGCATTCACCACAACACACTGGAGCCTCCTTTCCCCAGCACCAGGCTGGGATTCCTGCAGCCTTTGGGGCAGATGAACAGTGGCCCGGCTGCACACAACGAAAGACCGAAGGCAGAAGGATTAAAGCACCTCCTCTGGGATCGTGCTGGAAGTTAACGTGGGAAGAAGACAGACCTCATGACTTTGAAGCCTACTTTAACCACCTGACCCCTCACGCCCCTCCTCACATAAGCTGGGAGGAACACACCGTGCCTACGTTCAAATCTACAAAAAACAATCTTCCATTTTAATAATGCAGAAAAAAAAATTAATCCGACAGCTCTGCTGTGTGCCCTCAAGGAAGGGCAGCAGAGACAGCCAAGTTCTTTCCACACAGCACCTTTTTCTAACAAGATCTGCCTTTCAAACAAACCAGGAAAAACAGGCATAATTAAAGGGCAATCAAAGCGCTGCAGGAACCTCACTGTCAGCGAGATGAAAGATGCCTTTTTTAAATGAAGGCTTGCATACCCAGATCTCTTCTCCTTGGTTTATCTTGGACGCCATACTCTTTTGTCACACAAAAAGCACCAGCAATTTTGATTAGTCCAAAGGCTACATATGCAGCAGCTTTAGATGAAATGTCACCTTGTACAGCCTCATCTGACTCACTGCAGAGCACAGTTGAAAAGCAGCGGTGTGTAGGGGTGTCACTAGTGTGACACCTGGGGCTGCCATACGTAATGGTGAGCAAGTCACTGGGTACGAGCACACCATGAGCTCTGACCAGTCCCCAAACACAGGCTTGGGTCAGACTATTGTGCAAAGTCTTGTACATCCTTCTGGATAAGGCCCTACACAGGCAGACTTGGGACTTTTTCCAGTCTGATCACCTTGCTTTACATGGCTTTCATTTCAAGAGAAGACAGGTAAATTGCCTTCACCTTCTCCTATTTATGCTCCGTTATGTTTTTGTACCCAAAGGATTAAGACATTACTCACCAATTCAAGTCCATTGGATATTTCTTTCTCTACCGAGAATTCAGATAAAAACTCCAATTTTTCTAACACTAGTAGGCAAAAGCTACTCATTTTTACCATAGAACAGCTTGGGGTTGAAGTGACTCTAAAGATCATCTAGTCCAACCCCCCTGCCATGGGCAGGGACACTTCCTACTATATCAGCTTGCTCAAAACCCCATCAAACCTGGCCTTGAACACACTCAGGAATGGGACATCCACAGTTTCTCTGGGCAACCTGTTTCAGTCCCTCACAGTAAAGAATGTCTTCCTAATATCTATCTAAATCTGTCAGTTTAAAGCCATTCCCCCTTGCTCTATATCACTGTAAAAAGTCCCTCTCCAGCTTTCCTTCTGGTCTTCTTTAGGTACTAGAAGGTGCTCTAAGGTCTCCCCAGAGCCGTCTCTTCTCCAGGCTGCAAAACCCGAACTCTTCAGCCTGTCCTCATAGAAGCAATGCTCCAGCCTATGTTATATTGAACTTATATTACATTTGGTCTATGTTATATTCAACTTAAAATTGTCAGGATGCTTTTCTGGATTTTGGATTACTGTGTTTGTAAAGAATACAGAGTTTGGAGCCTACAATACAACAACCAGAGACAGGTTAAACTTCAAGGAGCTTCTATACAGGGAATGCAGTTGGATATTGTTTTTCTTGACCTTGGCTAAATAGTTCCAATGTTCTGCTGAAAACACAGCAGACAAAGGGATTACAATGGGTCCTGAGACCAATTCCCTGACACAAAGGCAGTGTCTTCCCCTCCTGCAAAGAAAAATTACCCAGAAGCTCAAAGTTGCTTATTTCAATGCTTATAGCTG